AAATAGGGGGGGGAGGGGGGGGGTTGGCTAGATGGTTTGTGGATGGGAAAACGGTGGCTTTTTTTAGCGTATATGCGCCTTTTTCAGAGAAAACGTACAGGTGAAGCAGGAGTTTGTGGCAGGACCTTGGTTTTTTTTCCGTGCATTACCGGGGGTGGCAATAGTAGGAGGGATTGGGCGCATTTGGAGGGCTGAGTGGAACCGAAGGGGCAGGTATGTTCGGTGGCTCTACGGATTTATTGAGGGTATTAGTAAGAGACGAATTTTGAGGGGGGGGGGGGGGGGGAGAGAAATACTTTTTTTTAGGAGAGGGTAAGCGAGGTTTGATAGTGTATCTTTCCACGGGGTGTAGTAGGCTTTCAAAACTGTTGAAGTAGCATGGCGATCATGAGCCGTTTTGTGGAGGTTGGGGGCGGAGGCGCTTGCGAATAACAGGAGTTTCTGGAAATTAATATAATCATTGAGTATGAGGGGGGTTGAGGGATTTTTTGTCCTATGGAAGGAGCTTAGCGGGGAGGGCAGGGGTGGAAGATGTCGTACAAAGGTGGGATTGTGTTGCCAAGGAAAGGATGGAAATATTATGTGGGGGTGGGCAAAAGAAAATGATTTTAAATATGGGCTTTCAAATTATCTGGAGATAGGTTAAGGGTGTTATAGGAAAGGGGGGTGGGGGGGGCAACTATCCTATGGATAAAATGTCAAATCAAGGGGGGAAAGAGGGGTTCAAAATAGAGGTTTTTAAGCGGTAAGGGTGCAGGCAGGGGGAGAGGAGGTGCTTTGGGGAGCAAACCATCGGGTGGTGTTTTCAGTCAAAAAACAAAGACAGCGGTTTACGCTATTCCCAGGTTAGAGGTACCGATTGGGGGGGGTTATAGAAGGGTAGGAGATACTAACTACAAATGAAATGTGTGGTATGCGAAAATGGTATGAAGGGGATTGGACAATGGGAGGTGGGGAAATGTGGATTTTGAAAGGGTGTATATGTGAGTGTAATTTAGGGGAAAAGGAAAAAAAGGCTTTAGGGGGGGTAAAAACAAGGGGGAAAAGATTGGCTTTTTGGGAATGGGAAAGGCAAAGCCCGGGAATAGATGGGGGCTCCCGGCTGAATTTTATCTCCAACTTGGGAGGTGATAAGGGGTTTCAGGGTAGGTTTTTTAATCAATGAAGGAGAAAGGGGTGTGGGGACAAGCAAACAAAAGCAGTTGTAGTGTTGGGCCAGAAGGGTAAGGGGGAGCACACCCTCAAGGAGTACCCTGCCATATCTCTGTTTATGTTATTATAAGTTGTTCGCTAAAATCTTTGGGGAATCGGTTCAAATGTGTGGTAGGGGAGTGGGTTTTGAAAACGCAGTATGGTTTGCCCGGAAGGTCGATGATTGAGGGGCAGGAAAACTGAGAAGTTTTGTGGAGTCAAAAGGGGGGGAGGGAGGGGGGCGTTGTTGGTTTAGACTGGAGGGGGCCTTGACAGGGGGGGGAAAGAGGAGCAATTTGGGGGCTATACTTAGGGGCAGGGGTTTTGGGGGGAAAAATATTTTTTGGGTAACCCTTTTACAAAGGGCCAAGATGAGGGTACAGATTAATGGATGCTTTGGGGGAAAGGGATTTAAAGGGGAGGGGTTAGGCAGGGGTGTCCCCTGCACAAATTTTTTTGGGTGCATCAGGGGCCCCCCTTCTAAGAATGGTTTTAACGTTGTGTATGTGACACGAGTGGGGAAAGGGGGGGGGGGGGAGGGAAAGTGTGGCCGGGGAAAAATAGGAAGGGAGGGGATACACATCCTGGGTTGGGAGGGGGTGGCGTTTGGGGTTTTGGATGATGATGTCAACAGTTCGGAAAAGCAAAAGGGGATGCAGGGAAATAAGAGAAGTCAAAGATCATGGGGTTGGGTGATTGGGTGGAGGGGGGGGGGGAGTAACGTTGTAAAAACAAACGGTGTCTTTAAAAATTTTTGGGTTTACCATAAGGGTGATTTGGCGCTGCTCGAGGGAAAACTCGAATGATTAAAGGAAAGGACAGGGGGTCGGGTGCATTTCGACCTCATCATCAACTCTCGGCAACGAGTGATTTTTATAAATGTATTATTGTATAGTAAGGTTTGGCAGTAGCAGCCGTGTTTTCCCTTTAACAGGGCGGGATTGTGGGAATTTGAGACGAGTGTTTAACTTTTTTTTGGGGTTTTAAGGGCGATTGGCTGAGGAGAGAGGTGTAAGTTACCTGTGCCCAGGGGGGTTGGGGTTGATGGATCTGAGAAGGAGGATTAAAAGGTTTCTTAAATGGGAGGTTTTGCGCGAAGGTGTGAGTGGAGGGCAGCTGGGAAAAGTATGAAGGGTTGGGGAAGTTGTTGGTGGGTGGATTTTTGGGGGAAAGTGAAACTATTTGAGGGCTTTGATGTTTTGGTTTAAAAACCCAGGAAAATTCGGGAGGGGGTTTTTGTGTAAGCTGCTTGCAGACAGGATTGTTGTACCCTTGAGGGATTGTTCCCCATGTACGCATGGAAGGTATTTGGTATAGGTTTACAATTTAAGTTAAAGCCCAGGGGAAGGGAGGGGAAAGTATCGTTTTTTTTTTTTTTTTTCATGGCATACTACCTGGGGAAGGTTTTAAGAACCAGGGATAATTGTGGGCGGAAGGTGGGAATTGTGGGGAGGAGAACGGCTTCCAGCGTATACTTTTTTTGGGGGGGGAAAGGGTGTAGGTTTGGTTAAATTAGGGTGTACAGGGGGTGGGGAGCCAGGGGTGTCGGTTCTGCGTGCACTAAGCCAGATGTGGGAGGGTTTTGATGAGAGGTTTTAAAATTTTGGGTTATATAAAGTGGATATATATATAAATGTGGGTGATGAGGGGGAGGGGGGAAAGGAGGTGCGGGGCGGGGGACTAGCGTAAGGTTTTTTCTCGGTTCGTAATGGAATGTAGGGGAGGGGGGAGAAAGGGTTTTTTTGGGAAAGGGTATAGAATGTTAACGTTAGGGTTTCTCACAATCACGCTTGGGGTGAGAGAGTAAAAGGGGGGGGGGGGGGTTTTTGGGTTACAACGGGAAGGGGGATTTCAGGGGGGGCACAGCGGGGTGCCCCTGGGGAGGGGGGAGAGTAAGGGGATGTGGGAAATTAAGGGTAGAGAGTGGGATACTGTATGGCCCTGCAATGGGCACAGAAAGCAAAGGGGATATCAAAGTAATTAGTAGTACCGAATGGAGAAAATTTTGGTTTGATGGTTCAGGGCGCTGCCTTTTTCAGTATTAAAGTGTGAATGGTGTCAAGATTAGTTTTTTAAAACCGTGAAGAGCTTTAGGGTTAGTAGAGTGGCGTTTATAGCCTTTTTTGGGGAATTTCATTTTGGGGAAATTGTATCGCAAAGAGAGGGATTTAAATTAGTTTTGTTTATGTTTTTGGGGGTTTAGCGAGTGTAGTCTTTATTTTGCCTTTTGTAATGTCCATCCAGTTCTGCAGAAGGAATGCTAATGACTTCATAAAAATTTTAATGCCTCGTTTAAAATTTGTAATGGGGGCAGTATGGGTTTTTTCTCAGATTTTATATAAAAGTGCTCAGGATTGGGAAAAGGTTTTATAAATTTAGTAATATTTGTTAATATTTATTTAGTATAATGGAGGGTTAGGTTTTGATTTTTTTTTTTTTTTAATGCTTAAAGAGAGTGTAGTGAGGCACTTTATGGCTAGGGATTCTTTTTGTAAGGGTTAAATTTTGGGAAAAGGCATGTAAATTGTTTTTAACCCGGGTTGTTGTAGGTTATTACTTGATTATCTCCCGTGAATTGAAAACAAAATGGATCAATACCGACAGGGTTTTAGGTAAGACACATATGCAAAGTTGACAACTTTATTCCGAAAAGTTTCGCCTACACAGTAGCTTCTTCATCGAAAACAGAAAAAGGGAGGAAAGTAGAGATGTGAAACGTGTAAACTCCCTCACCCTTAAAGGTAGAATTTAGGTTTTCTCCTGGCCTGGAGAATTCATTCTATTCCTGACTATGGGGAAATAACTTCTCCAGCCCAGGGATGAAACCTCAAATTCACACTTTAAGGGGGATGGACGTTACATCGTCTTCACATTCTACGTTCCCGCCCACTTTTGTATTCGATGAAGAGCCTATGGTAGGGAAACGTTTCGGGAAAAAAGTTGTCTAACTGTTGCATTGTGTCTTATAACAACACCCTGTGAAGTTTTGAACCTTTTTTCTATGTCTCATAGTATGTTAACTAACAAAAACTGAAAATTGTATATAGTTTATATTTTTTTATAGTTTTTTTATAGTTAAGTTTTTATTTTTTTATCAAGTATGTTATATGGAAAATTTTTTTAGTGTATAGGGTAACCTCTTTTTTGTCAATTCAATTTTTGTTAAAAATTGGTTTGTGTATGTTGTTAGGATTGGGGTCCCACTGTACCCCTTTTTACTAATATCAAGCTGTAAAGTTTTTAAATAAAATATAAAAAAAAATATCAATATTAACATTAGCTTCAGCATTAACCTGAAGAGGATCAGCGTTAATGAAGCGGTTTCAGGAACAGCTTTGGTTCCCGAGTAAACTATCATATACAATAAAGTAGCAACACGCTCCTGATGTATCCATAAAACAATTGTAAAAAAAAAATCTAAATTTATATAAGGAACCGAAATGCACTTAATATTAAGTTGTATGTCAGGTTAGGATTTAATTTAATTATTACTTGCCAGCAATGAAATGCTCCAGTAATTAGGAAATTATTATTATAATGAAAAAGAAGCGTTAAACCACAAGGGTTGTACAGAAGTAATTATGAAAGGGGTTAGAATAAAATAAGGCAAGAAACCTGAATAAACTTAGTGTAACGTTAGCTTCTACGTTAGAATTTAATTAGTTAGTCTTAATCAAACCGATTCCTATAATCAGGAGAGAGTTTTGAATCGTACAAGGCAGACAAAATAAAACTATAGATGTTAAGGTTTGTGTCACTTATAGGAGGGTGGCGTGGGCCGGGGCGCGTGGCTGCTGAGGCATTGAGAGGCGAGAGCTTGTAGAGGAGGGGTGCAGCTTCTCGTACTGACGGAGACAACTTTTTTTACGCTCTTCAGAGTTGATGGGAGTGCTGAACTTGCCGGTACTGTACAGCATTTAGGGTAAGATGCATTTGGGTTTGATCCAAGGAGAAGGAGGATATTTAATTTCTTGTATCAAGAGCCTCACACCAGCATATGCAGAAAAAATGCCTAAATTCATCTTAATATGCTGGGAGATGCCTTGATGCTGGTCAAGGGCTCTAGATCCAGAGAATTGACAACGTGGCATAAGTCATTTGTATAAATACAGGAAGTTGCAATTATCCAAGTTTGTTATTAATAGCGACCCAAATCTTCATTTCTTGAATCCAGCTTAAGTACCTCTCATTCCTAGTTGCAGTACTATACCATAATAAGTCGAGCGCTCCTCCATAATTAATAACGGGTAAACATGTGCAATAATAATAATTACAGGCAGATTTGTTGAATTAAAAATGTTTTGTTCACAGGCAGTAGTGAAGGCAGCAACATGACGTACTAAGGGAGGTCAGTTCTGTCATCACTTCGCTCACAGTTCTGGTAAGTCCTTCTCCTACATTAATATAAAGGGTAGAGAATAACCACCGTTAGTAATTTGTATATTGAGTTATGGAGGAAGAGGATTATTTATTGAGCACCGTTAACTTTACCGGACGGGGGGTACAAAACCTGTATGGATCATGTACCTGGGGGATGGAAGTTATTTGTATTTGATACAAGGTAAGGACATGTTCAGTTCTGTGGATCGTGAGCCTCTCAGGCATTGAGGAAACTGCCTTGTGAGGTCTCCGTGGAACACATTTTATCACTTTGCCCATGGCATACCCCTCAAAGGAGGCTCGCTGGTGAGCTCTTGATCTAGGGAATTAGCGCTGTGCTCCAGTTCCCTGAATTGAGCCTGAATGCCTTCCATCCCCCCACAGGCGCTATATAATCCTACGGGTTTAGCGCTTCCCGATGATTAATGCCCATGGCATAGGCCTTTCTACATTTATCATTTTTTTATATAATTACCGATATTGTAGCAAATTGAATTTTTAAGTGTCTTGACATTCTTCATTTAAAAATATTTTTAACTTTTCTTTTATTCATGTTAATATTTTTACGAATTTTAGTGCTTTGTACATATTTTTTTTAGTGTGCTGAATGAGCTACATGGTCAAGTGCTTTTCCTACATGTAAACTACCTACGTAACTTTGTTTCATATTGACTGGCTCCACCTCATAGAATTAAATAACTTGCACGTATATTAACTTGTAAAACACTTCCCCTCAAGGAAGGTTCCTTGATGTTGGTGAGGGGCTCTTGATTTAGGGAATTGGATCTGTGCTCCAGTTCCCGAATTAAGCCTGAATGCCTTCCACATCCCCCCCAGGCGCTGTATAATCCTCCGGGTTTAGCGCTTCCCCCTTAATAATAATAATTGTAAAACACTGGTATGTTTTGCGGGGACGTTTTACTGATTTTTAATCCAATATAGTGAATAATGCTGGAGACTGGAAAACCATGAAGTAGGTTGATGTGATTATTCCCTCGGTCTTAAAAAATGTTAAATTCATCAGTCGTGATTCATAGACTAGCGCTATATGACCCATGTAGGTTTGGCGCTTTTTATTATAATGTAGACTAATAAGACTATAACCACTTTCAAGGCTGAGTTATCACCGCAAACTACGTCCTGCCTTCTGTCTACAGTATTACCTTCTGTATTTGATGAAGTCACTAGTTGGTGCAAAGTCAACAAAAGAAACACGCAGGTGTTGCGTCCCTCGTCTAATATTCCTCTACTTACCGCTTTTGTAAAACGTAAATGTATAATACTTTTCAGTTGGTTAATATTTGATCACAAACATCCATGTTTAATTATTGCAGGCTCATTTTTTCTTAAATATTCTTCCACAAAGTAGCTTTTTTTACTTCAAAACTTCAGGTTTCATTAGAGGCATCCTACTACCCAGTTTTTTGAAGGTTGAAGCCGTATATTAAGAAGTTGGATTTTCGGAGTACAGTAGTAGTAGTAGTTGGAAGCTTTCATGCGAGTTTTTAAAAAAATTTCTTGAAAGGCTTCAGTGAGAACATCCTATTAGTCATTGGAGAAAGTTCCGTGTACTAAGTTGGGAATTAGCTTAAGCCCTTCACCTTCATTGCCACAAAAATCCCGATCATTGCATTCATAGGCATTCGCCTGAATCTTATTTAACAAGTAGAACAATGCTGCTTAATGAGGTGCAGGCCCGTGGTACCAAACTATAAACGTGAAGATCTACCAGTGGTGGGGAGACATGTGCAGTACCTTTTTATTTTAATAATACATGTCCCACCAAAGGCTTTTATCATAATGTAAATTGATTTTTATAGGGTAGCCAGTGGAAAGAGTTTAGAAGTGGTGGTGGGGGTGGGTGGTGGGGGGGGGTCAGAGGTTTAGCAAGGGAGTTGTAGAAACATCCTCTGTTGGTCAGTATAGTAGTGGAGTCAGTGGATGTAGTAATGCATCAATAGTAGCAGTCACATGGTGGATGGGGTCCACTAGCGAGAGAAAATCAGGTCTGTGAAGTGGGTCAGATTTGGCTATAGAGTTGTTAAAACTTATTCTCTGTATTAAGATGCCATGGTATTGCTGTATCAGTTAAGTATTCTAACAAAAGCATATAATACTTCAGAGTTGACGAATAAGACGGGCAACACCTGGCGATTTTTAATTGTCTCATTAAAGGTATGCAGTTACACATTGCACTGTAAGTTTCATAAGGTACAGTTTTTAAAATTACAAATTCCGGTGAGTCGCGAGAAATGCAGTTTTTAATAAGCAGCAGAAGAAAAGCTCACATACATTGATCCTGGATTGCCTCCCAGTAAAATTGTAAAGCATAAAATAATTAAAACTTTTACACATTTCTTAAAACCAGAAACTTAGCAATGTGTAAAAAAAATAATTTATGTAAAATATGTGCAGAAGCAAGAGGAACGCGAATGCTCCCAGCCAAGCGAGCAAACAACACTGCAACTTTGCACTGAACGGGAGGCGTATCTAACTCCGCACATCTTAAGAGTGTAAGTGCTTATTTAAGCTTTTGCAATAATTATATAAACGTTCACATAATTATTTACTGTTACATTAATTATTTAAACTTTTACAATAATTTTATTCAGTAAGTTATGTAGAAATAAATCTTGGATAATCAGTAGTAAAGTGTGATTAATCAGGTTTGTTCTCTAGGAAGAAACTTGCCGTCCAGCCTGACCTGTGAGTGCCCAAACGTGCTTGATCACGTGACCTGACAATTTGAAGCCTCATCTGACATGATCTTACCCAGAAGGTCCGGCTGCTCCTTAGCGATTTGGTCACGTATCATTTCGCAGAATTGCAATCGGCGATCTGGGTCTTCCTCCAAAAGGCCATGCACCAGTCGTGGGAGGTATGGTTTTTATTTCACCTTACGCATTAGGTGTCGCAAGGATGTTCTTGGTATGGATAGTTCCATTGAAGCGTGTCTTGTGGACTTTTTTGGACTTTACAAATGTCAAAGCCTTCTAGTCTCATTTTCTTCAGTCATAGAAGTCTTAAGGCGACCAGATTTCGGTTAAATTAACCACCGAACGTGTGCTTTCAGATATATTCCTTGTGATAAATTGCCTGGGGTGAAGGTGGGAGGGTTTAAAGGCTCCTTGCCATGATGTGCGCACCTGCTCCGCATTTTCACACTTCAATACTGCTTTAGTATCCACTTTTTGTTCTTGATTTAAATTGTTTGCCATTGGGCACAGTGTCTTAAAAATTAAAAAAAAAATGAAAAAATCGAAACTGAAATTGGAAAATTGCTTAATAACATTTCTAAAACGTAAATAAGGGATATGGAGTACTGGTTTGGAATAATGTTTTGGAATTATGGTTTGGATAAATTAAGTAGAGAACGTGAACAAGTAGTGAAACAATTGTAAGTGCTTTTGACCCACCCTGTACATCTATAAATGGGCTGGTTAGTCAAGTTAGTCTACTGAATTTAATCACAGTAGCAAATAACGAGCAAGTCTCTGGGCACAAAATTACGTTAATTCTAGTGTTTTAACTGCAATCTAAGGACACAAGAGAGCATCAGCAATTACATTACAACGACCACTGATATGATTTATACTAATTATGGCTGGCTTCTGAGAGCCTACTTCATGATCCTAGCATTTTTAGACTTCATAGTAGTATTTATATAGATAAGAGGATTGTGGTCTGAGATAGTAATTTAAATTGGAGGTGCCCAAATACACATCAAAATTCTCTAACGACACTACTAGAGCTAATGTCTTTCTCAAACGTGGCATAGTAACTCGTATGTGTTAAGTAAAAGGACTCAAATGCAACTGTGACATTTTATTAGGGGCCCGGTGGCCTGGTGGCTAAAGCTCCCGCTTCACACACGGAGGGCCCGGGTTCGATTCCCGGCGGGTGGAAACATTTCGACACGTTTCCTTACACCTGTTGTCCTGTTCACCTAGCAGCAAATAGGTACCTGGGTGTTAGTCGACTGGTGTGGGTCGCATCCTGGGGGATAAGTTAGTCCTCGATGACGCACTGACTTTCTTGGGTTATCCTGGGTGGCTAACCCTCCGGGGTTAAAAATCCGAACGAAATCTTATCTTAACGTTTCGCTTTCCAGGAGCATTGTCAAGCCGTTACAAACAATACATGGAAACACAGGGTATACATAGGCTTAGTGAGGTGTAGTACAAGTAGTAGTAATAGTTATAAGTGTGGTGGAAAAGGCAACTGGTACATGAGAAAGGAAGGTTACAAAAGCCGTGGCTAGGGTAGCCTATAAAACATAGGTTGGGCAAATGTATATGGATGTGCTAGAGACATTCTCGTCAGGGCGAGCCCCTGTAAACTGCCAACCATAGTAAGAGTACACTCCACCACTGAATTTTTTTTTATATTTTATTTAAAACTCCATATTACAACATAATAAATATATATAAAAAAAAACCATCCTGTGTTAAACAGGTATACAAAACAGAACACGAACATAATACACCATATAAAGTACGCGGCATTTACAAAGCCACTATTTACACCTTGAGCCACCTAGTATGTCCCTAAATCATACTTAATGATACATCATATAAGAACATAGTACAATACTTATAGCGTTGACAAATTTTAAATTTAAACATTTAATACATAATAATTTCAATACCATCAAACATGTATGGTTATAACTGGACTACATTCATCCTTTGCTTCATATTTCTTGCATTATGAGACACGAGGTTCAATGACCCTGCTAACCCAACCCTCCTACAACACATTGGTCCGTTTTTATACAATTCACCACTAAACGTCTATCATCCTGACCTTCCTAAATGCCGTCACATTGGTCCGTTTTTATACAATTCACCACTAAACGTCTTATCATCCTGACCTTCCTAAATGCCGTACACGCGTTTTCCTGACCATAACAGTGGCGCTAACAGCGTACCTTACACGTTACATATAATGACGATATTCATATCAAAGCTATCAGCATAGTGTCGCATAGCACGGAAATAACCTTTACGTCTACGGTACAAAACTACTATACCTCGTGCTTGGACACGCACATGACTGTCCCTACCTACACATTACCCACGCCACGCCCTTGTGCGTGGAATCCGTACCCATGCTGCACGCCATGCGCACCAAACGCGCTTCGTGTATCTACAGCTAGCATACGTCATGATCACCAGGACCAACACCTGATTATCCCTTCTAGGGGAACCAACCTTTGGACCCCCCCCTTCCAGAATGCCATACATACGGTTCCCCACACATACTTGGATCGTGCATTCACATGGTTTTCCATAATCATGTGGTAAGAACTTACCCTAATGTGCACACAATTCAATTTAATTTCCTCCTTAGAGACAGACAGCATACCTCAAGGTACGTGATACAATCAATCACATAAGCGACTGTTATATAACAATTCATGAAAACACACCTGCTTAAAAGAGCACTATTATACGCTCACCCACAACCGGGTTTGTGTTGATCCAAACTCAACACATGAAATGTTCCCAGTCACCAAGACATACACCTCCCTCACACCTTACACCAACACCTTTACTTATCAAAAGCATCACTCACGCCCACGCATACCTCAAGAAGCCAGCTCATTTTACCCCTTAAGATTGCAACGCCCATAAGTCCCTGACGCGGAAGCTAGGATATCCCTCCGAAAAGGTTAAATGCCATCTGTTCCCAGTGATGTCCTTATTCCTCCGTTGCGTCCCATAAAATATCGTTGCCAGTGTCCTGATTCTCTCCCTTACTGACAAAGTCTG